GAAAAGACTTTAAAGGTGTATGCTATCTTAGATGATCAAAGCAATCGATCACTTGCCCGATCTGAACTGTTTGATCTATTTTGCATAAGAGGAGAGGTTCATCCTTACACCTTAGGCACTTGTAGCGGCACTACAGAGGTCTTTGGAAGAAGGGCACATGGATTTATTGTGTCCTCTCTAAGAGATAACTTACAATTACCCTTACCTACACTTGTAGAGTGCAACCAGATACCAGCCAACAAAGAAGAAATACCTACACCAGAAGTTGCCTTCTTCCACCCTCACCTAAAGTCAATAGCAAGTGAAATCCCACCACTTGACAAAGATGCTAAAATCCTTCTTCTACTGGGAAGAGATATTCTAAGGGTCCACAAGGTGCACAGGCAGGTCAGCGGACCCCCAGATGCTCCATTTGCCCAGTACCTGGACTTAGGCTGGGTCATCATAGGTAATGTCTGTATAGGCAAAATGAAAAGGCCTACTAAGATTTCTTCATTCAAGACAAACGTATTGCCGAATGGTCATAATACTCACTTTGAGCCATGCCCACATCACTACTGGGTAAAGGAGAAGGTAACTAGCTACAAGTTGCAACATGACAACACAAACCTTTCCCGCACATACGATGACAGGTTTGGCTCTACAGTTTTCAATACAAGCAGTGAAGACAACATGTTAGCTCCTTCAGTAGAAGACAAAGAATTACTTAAAGTAATGGACAACGAGTTCTTTCAGGATGATTCCAACAGTTGGGTAGCACCCCTACCCTTTCGCCTCTCGAGAGAGAAGCTACCGAACAATCTACATCAAGCCATTAAAAGATTCTCCTCCTTAAAGCGTACTTTAAGCAGGAAACCAGAGATGGAAAGACATTTTGTAGACTTTATGCAGAATATCTTTGATAGAGGTCATGCTGAACCCTCACCTCCACTGAAAGAGGGAGAAGAAGTCAATCAGAGTTGTCTTTGACTCCAGGGCCCAACATGAAGGCATCTCACTTAACAACATGCTCCTCACAGGGCCCAACTTGAACAACAGCCTGATTGGAGTCCTAATTCGTTTTAGACAAGAACCTGTTGCAGTGATGGCGGACATTCAACAAATGTTCCACTGCTTCATCGTCAAGGAAGACAACAAAAACTACCTCAGGTTCCTATGGCACAAGGACAATGACCTCAACAGAGAGGTAATTGATTACCGAATGAGGGTGCATGTCTTTGGGAACAGCCCTTCCCCAGCTGTAGCAATCTATGGACTAAAAAGGACAGCCCAGCTTGGAGAAGCTGAGTATGGATCCGACGCTCGTCAATTTGTCGAAAGAAACTTTTACGTAGACGACGGGCTCAAATCCTTTCCTACTGCTAAAGAAGCATTTGATCTTCTCACCCGAACAAAGGAGATGCTATCCGTAGCAAACTTGAGACTCCACAAGATTATATCCAACAGCCAAGAGCTAATGAATGCATTTCACTCTGAGGACTATGCTGCCAGCGTGAAAGACCTTGACCTTGGGTCAGACACGCCTCCTTTGCAGAGAAGTCTAGGTCTGCTGTGGAACATCAAAGAAGACACCTTCACCTTTCAAGTGTCAACCTGTGGCAAACCTTTTACCAAGAGAGGAGTCTTGTCCATGGTGAATAGCATCTACGACCCCCTGGGATTTATAGCCCCAGTCACCACCCAAGGTAAGATGCTTCTAAGACAACTTACGACTGATAACATAGATTGGGACACTCCGTTACCCATGGAGAAACAACAAAGATAGGAGAAATGGAGAGGTTCTCTGAAGCCACTAGAACAGCTCCAAATTCCACGTTGCTATGCCCCAGTCTCCATTTCAGCCGCTAAACAGAGGGAAATCCATATTTTCTCAGACGCGTCAGTTGAAGCTATAGCTGCAGTGGCCTATTTGAAGACCTCAGGGATCAATGGAGACATACATTGCAATTTTGTTCTAGGCAAGGCAATGCTAACACCAAAACCTGCACATACCATACCCAGGCTTGAACTTTGTGCAGCCGTGCTAGCCGTGGAAATAGCCGAAGTCATAAAGCGTGAAATGGACATTAAAATCGATTCCTTCACATTTTACACAGACAGTAAGATAGTGCTTGGATACATTTACAACCAAACAATTTTACGTGTACGTCAGTAATCGAGTAGAATGTATCAGAAGGTTCTCTCTGCCAAAGCAATGGCATTATATTCCCACAGACCTTAATCCTGCTGATTATGGGACAAGACCTATATCCCCAGCAGCTCTCCATGGCTGCTTGTGGCTGACGCCTCCAAGGTTTCTTCACGAAAACCCCTACTCAATTTCCACTGACGTTACCTAAGAATTGGTACTTCTTCTCCCAAGTGAGTGACTTATGCAAGAGTACCAGACCGTACGGTACTATGGCGGGGAGAACGCCGCTATAACTGTTAACTATGCCACTGTTGAAGCTCCACGGCTATAAACTGCAGACTATAGGACTTTAGCCATCTGTTATTGGACTTCATGTTTATTGTTCATTTACGGCGACCTCTCCTTTCTCTATTAATTCGAGTTGGAAGCTCAATATTAATATAGCTAGCTACTATGATCTACTTAGAAGTTTAGCCTAGCGAGTCACTTTTTATTTTTTGTTCTCTACGCTCGATTTCTAGATCTAGGCGGACCTCTTCTTTCTAATTATTTGAGCTACAGCTTCATATAGTTAGATTCATATATATATAATTCGTACACTTGGTATTATTTTCTTATTTTTGAGTTTTGGGTAGAACTTCTCACTTCCACTGTATATATATATATTTTTTTGTTTTACTACATGGGGCTGGTCATCTGGGGGTGATGTGCCTGTCGGTTGAGAGATGCTGTTCCTGTTTACCTAGGAGGCAGGGGTAGATCCTGTTACAGTTGCTTTTTAGGCAATTAGTTCATCTTTATTGCAATATTGTATTCTTTTCAAGCAACAACTTTAGGGTATATAGAATTCTGTTGAGATTTGACAACATTCTAACAATCTATTCTTTATGTTGCTATTTGCCTTGCATCTGCAAGCATTCTACCACTTTTGAACTGTGGGGCTGACTACTCTCTAGAGGAATTGAGTTACCTGGGTATCTTTATACATAGGAGGAATTTCTTCTAATTTATTTCTCTCTATTTTGAATGAATATACTTTTGATCCCAGGCTATCTCACTAGTGGAGCCAGCCTTTTTCTGCTTGATTGATTTACCATCTATTCAACAGGCTTATAGCCTGCTACAAACTTCAGGGAGCTACACCTTATTTACTGGGTGTTATTCCCATAATAGCAGTTTGAGTATATTCTATGCAGATATTCTGATTTACTAAGGGACCCCTTGAAATATGTTACACTATGGATACTCTATTATGACATGTTATCCTTTAGTACACATACCTCTAAGCATTCACTGACTTACAATATTACCATATAGTAATCTCTTTGCTGTATCTACCAGGCGGCCTCCGACTGCACTACTATAGATTCACGGACCATGAGCCATCCCCCTATGTATTTTATTTAGTCTGTGAATAGTTTTTCAATAAAGTATTTTTTATTTTTATTTATTTTAAGAAAACCAGGGGACTTTATATACTCTCTCAGTGGGCACACCCCTACTTGAGTGTGTTGTGGGAGTTAGACTTCTGCTTTTCTCTCCACACACCCTCATCTTTGGGAATTTTCTCATTTTCATTTACTGCATACCTTCTTTGTTTTGCAGGTATCTCGTATTTATGGCCTACACACCAGTATTATTTCCAATGTTTTCTTCACTTACAGGTTCGAGTTGGACTTTTAGACATTTGGACTTATCTTTATATTGATATATATATAGGCTTTGAAATCTAAAGATTTCAGGCGGGGAGTGTCATGTTACATGATATTGTTTTATTATAATGTACTGTTTCTTTAATGTTCATCTTAAGTTTGTCCCTTGGGCCACTCCATAGTTTGCATGCTGCTCCAGGTACTCCGCTCCCCTTTTTTCTGTTCTAGTGTATTCTATGCTGTACATTCATATGTGACTTGTTTCTCTGCTATCCTGTATGGAGGAATTGTTCTTTTACCTGTCGTAACTGCACATTCTACAGATCATATGACGAATAAACACCGCCAGATCTTCTTACATGTGAGTTGTGACTGAGTAAACTATCTGGGAAGGTGATTTGGTATGGATAATCTCATCAGGGCAATGAGCGCCATGTGCTCCTGAAAAACACATTCATAGCCTCTGCAGCCGGTCCAGAATAATGGCTGCTATGGGGATAAAAGGAGAGAAAGTCATAGTGTGGCGTCCATCCTCCCCTGACCTCAATCCTATTGAGAACCTTTGGAGCATCCTCAAGCAAAAGATCTATTAGGATGGGAGGCAGTTTACATCCAAACAGCAGCTCTGGGAGGCTATTCTGACATCTTGCAAACAAATTCAAGCAGAAACTGTCCAAAAACCCACAAGTTCAATGGATGCAAGACTTGTGAAGCTGCTATCAAATAAGGGGTCCTATGTTAAAATGTAACGTGACCTGTTAAAATGTTTAAAAAGTTAAAATTTTGTTATAAGTCTGACTGAAATAGCTTTTGATTTCAGTAAATATGCTGCAAACACAACAAATGACAATATTCAGTTCTTTACAAACTATAAAGTGTTTTGAAAGTTGCTGTGGGTAATAATTTGGAAAAAAAATCCTGTTATCATTATGAGGTTTGTTCATTAAAATTTAAATTGTACTCTTAATAGTTGATAACATGAGAATTATGCTGACTGTTATTTACATCAATTATTTAGGTAAATGAGAAAAATATAATTTGCATAATAATTTAGAACAGGGTGTAAGGTGAGTAGTGAAGTGTATAAGTTTCAAGGGAATAACAAACTAAAGATGTCTAAAACGATCAAGTTTCATATAAGACAGCATATGAAGGGTTAAATGTTACACAGCGAGTCTAGCAACGCCCTTCTCTACGTCATGGAGCTGGAAAAGTCAGATACTAGCCAATGAAATTGTTTCGTTTTGTAACACTCATTGGAATACATTGAATGAAATGTCTATGAGACCCCTGACTTTTTGCTTAATAAACAAGATCTTTGATTGCATCAGAACTCTCTGCCTTTTCGTGCTTTGAGTTACTTCCCCAGCTGTTCTGAACAGATTGCTGCAAATTGGTTCACTGTTCAGATGAAGGTGGTCGGCCAACCATGGTATTAGGTATAAGACCCCAGGTGATTATAAGAACCCAATTAACTTGCTGTCAGAAAATATTGGGTGCATTCTCTGCAGAATTGGTAAAAGTAAGGCGCCTTTTGTTTGTACAAAATATGCTCAGATCTTTCGTTACCGAAAGTCTTCTGTGTAATGGCTCCTGTCTCTACTGGTAGACCATTCTGGACTGCAGTGTCCGGGGGCTCCTCTACTGTGGTAACCCCGTGTGTGGGACACATGGATGTATTTATCATTTAGACAAAAACAGCTGATTTGGAAAAATTCTGCAACTTAACTCTAGTCACAGCTTGTTATTTAAATACAATTTGGATATGAGTTACTAAAATGCAGAACTTTTGTGAATACCTGTGTAAATGTTTATCTTTATTTATTTATAAATATATAATTATTTGAGGCCCTCCCATGAATATTTAAAGGACCCTCCACCGGTGCGCATGGGTATTTTCCTAGTCTGCTGTTTTCAATGACTTTTAAACATTTAGGAGATATTCACCCACCTGCTAGATGGCAGGTATTAGCACATGGAGGTAAAATACCTCCGTTATAGCAATATTGATGTCTTATTGTCCCCCGTACGATTTTTATTTATTTATTTGTTACTTTTCTAATGTGGCACATAATTAACCCTTGCGCCACCATGTTTTTTTTCAAATTATTTTCCCTCTGCCTGCTATTACTGCTAGCAGGCAAATAGTACTTTAAATGATTAATTTACTTGCAAAAAGCAATAATGTGTGAACGTGCCTTCGGTTTATCTTTGGCCGTCATGCAGTCATTGATAAATTCCTGTGCTATAAATAGTTTTTTGATTTCCGGACGCCTCTGAATGAATGTTACAGAATCGGTTGGGCCGACCAAATCCTGAAAATGCTGTTGGAATTCGTCATTTTCACTGTATTTTGTCAATTTGTACAAAACCTGGTGTTTAGTTAATAACCATGCCAATCCCAAATTCACTTCACTGGGTTATTGAACTAATCCTCACTGTATACATATAGCTCACAGTATTGCTAACAGAGCGACCTTCCACCTTCAGGCTGCATGGAGAGGAAGAACGAGAGCTTCCTTATTGAGGAACAATCTGCTCCTCCTTCCTATTAGGGTTTTAAAGGTGAGATTTACTTCCCTTTACTCCCTTCTCACACTAGTCTCATGTCGGCTGCTCAGCCTCTCGGCTTAGATGACCAAGATTTCCACAGAGAATCATTGGGAGGCTAGTGTGCATGCGCAGCAAATCACCTCTATGTGCAGCATTTAAATGAGAACCTAGTCTGACTCTGCTCTTACAGGAGAAGCCCCTCTAGTGGCTGTCAGTACAACACCTAGAGGTGCGTTAAACATTGCAATGTAAACAATGCTGTTCTTACAAAATGGCAAGGTTTAACAAAGGGGGTAGGTCTGTCTGTAGAACTGACCGGCCCACTTGGTGTGAATGCACGCCAGGCTACCTGCCAATCAAACAGGCCGGCCCATAGAGGGCAGGCCACGCAGAGAGCATGCTCTCTGCAAAGTACTAATGCTCTGAGTGGAACGCTCCGCTATGCTTGTTAGGGAGAGTTCTCTGGTGTTCCCTAAAGTCAGAACGGTGGAAGAGGACGCAAAAATTGGGACTGTCCCACAGAAATCGGGATGGTTGGGAGTCCTGGATAGTTCAATCACTTTCTGATTTGCTGCGAGCTCTTTGCAGAAGCTGCAGTGAAACATTTGTGTTTTCTTTTCAACATTCGCTGTAATCCTGGTTTTGACGTTAACAGTGACTAGACGATTCTCCTTTACTCAAAATGTACTCAATGTGATACAAGGAATAGAATCTTTTAATTGATATCCGCTAATTGTAACCAATCGAGGATACAAAGAATGCAAGAGAAAATGTGAACCTTAATATTAGCTCCTTCCCTTGTGTGTGCCAGTGATTTAGTTGGGTAATAAATAAATTAGAGCAGGCGTGTGGCATCCTAAGATCACACTTCATCCATCTCTCTTGATCGCTGTCACTAACTCTAACAGAATTTATAATACAGGACTACTGACTGAGCATACCAGTACACAACACCCCAAGTCATAATCCAAACCCTATTCACCCGAAACTCCCTGACCTTAAGATTCCTTTAAACACGCACTCACCCCAAGTACCCAGTGCTACATCAAACACTCCAAGCCAACAGTCAATTTAGCCGCGTCCTTTTCAGTGGTGTCTGTGCTGTGTAGATTGTAAGCTCAGCTGCAGGATTCTCTTCTTCTGTTTCAATGAGTCTAAATATTTATCCCCTGTTTGTATATCTAACAATGTTATTTTTGCATAAATTGAAAAGAGCTCTGGGTAAGGCGGCTGCACAAGTACTGTTAAATAAGTAAATATAATTTTAACGGCAACGTTACGAAAACAATGTTGTTTTATTGAATGACAACATTTGAAACCATCTGTTTCGACAGCACCATTTGATACAATGGCTAAATGAAGAATCCCGGGGATTGCAATCCACAGCTGCAATGCCAAATCAGTAGGAAAAGCTGTTGAAATGAACGGCCAAACCTATAGCTCCTCAAACAATAGCAATCTCTATCTATGGTAGCAATTTACATGTATACGAGACAATGCAAGGGAACAATGATTCTCTCAGTACAGATTGTCAATGAAACCGCGGTCTTTCATTAGACAGAGATTAAAGTGTTTATTTAACCCCAGGCAGGGCTGGCCATATTCTAGGAGAATAGTAGCAGTGGCTAATAACGTGACATTCTCCCTATTATTATCTAAATGCCCCCACCTCCGTTTATTAGCCACATTCTCTCAGGTCTTATTATGAATCAATCTGCTGCCTTAGAACTACATGCCCCATAATGCATTGCCTCCCTTATCTAAATATTTTAAAATATAAGAAATAAAATAAAAGAATGTCAAAAACCTGTTTAACCCCTTAAGGACCAAACTTCTGCAATACAAGGGAATCATGACATGTCACACATGTCATGTGTCCTTAAGGGGTTAAAGTTACTAAAAACAAAAAGGTAGCAAATAAATCTCACCAATTCAGTGAATGTGTGGAAAATAAAGTGATAGATTCAATGTGGGGGGAGTTATCATTTCAGTGCATCTTCAGGTAGAAACGTGCCACGTGGAGCAGCCATCTTTAGTCCTGTCTAGTCAGAGATATTACTATCTATTACGAACCTAGACAGAAACTGTATAAACTGCCTGGCATTGTCCATTGTGTTATGAACCCACATTAAAATTTTGTTGCTCGCACAGTTTTTGGCCAGATAAGCTGTGCTGCTCACCAAAGATGACTTAAACGAGCAGTCAAAGTACCATAATGACTACAGCCCATTGTGATGGTCATGGTGCTAGCAGGCTACAAGCACTATCCCCCAGTTCTCTACTAGAACATTACCTGCACAGTTCATGATCTTGGATTCCATTTTTATTTGCATTTTATATAGCGCCAAGTTATTCTCTAGTCCGACGCCGGATTGGGATTTATAAAACCCGACGCCTGATTATGATTTATAGAATCCAGCGCCAGATTGTGATTTCTAGAATCCAACGCCGGATTGTGATTCATTAAATCTGATGACGGATTGTGATTTATAGAACCCGACACTGGATTGTGATTTATGGAATCCAACGCGGGATTGTGATTTATAAAACCCGACGCGGGATTGTGATTTATAGAACCCGACGCCTGATTGTGATTTATTCAATCCGATGCTGGATTGTGATTTATAGAACCCGCCACCGATTAGAGTCTATCATAATGGGATTTTGTGAATATACTTTGTCTTTAACTTGTGTTTTCTAAATTACACTGGACTTTGCGACTCTTGAGACACCTAGTCGGAATATCTTAGCATGTATCAGCTGATAATCCCAACCTGAACAAGTATTCTCGCTTTAAGCAGACTGAAGTACCCGTCTTGGGGTATTAAACTTTGGCAGAAAGAAACTGGAACTATTCCTTCTCCGAAAATAATGGGAACCTCAGAATTGTAGGAGTTTGAGCCACTTTCTAGTCTAATAAGAACTTCTCACACGCGTAATTACCAGCGAACGCAGACACATCGTGAACTTTTGTACTTTTTAATACTTTATTTGTGCATTAATATTGTGAGGGTGCTTTTAGCGTCCCTTTAATCAGTAAGGCAATGCATGTTATAAGAAATGATCTGTTTCAGAAGGAACGGGTTCACAGACAATAAAGCACAAACAGAAACATGTTTATTTGAATTAAACCAGAGAAGCTCACCATTAAAATGCAGACAGAAAGGAAATACTGTAGACAATGTATCAGTGCTGCCACCTGCTGATTGGGATGGCTAACAAAGAATGAAGACTAAACATTGCTGGTCTTTTTGGAGAATAAGCCCCTTTTGTCCTGCTGTCCAGTTGCCGGCTGGCTGTGTGCGTTATTACCCTGATTACTGATTGGGTGGCTATGCTCGTGGCTCTCAGAATATCTGCTAGGCCCACGGCTCTTGTGGTGGTTCTGTCCATGGCCTCTCTTCTCCTCTTGGGTTTCTGACTGGCTTTTTTCAGGTTCTTTAACTGGAGAGGCTGGTGATGGCTTTGATTCTGTGCCGTTGGTGGAAACATTCTGTCAAGAATAAGAATGTTACTACTAAGTGAGTCTGTGTGATTGGGCAGTGATAATATGGCAATCCAGCGCAAACGCATGTCCCTCCTCCTTCCGTGCCTCAAATCGCCCACTAACCTTTCAGAAAAATATGTTATTGTTGGTTTTCATTGACTCAATAGTGCTAATAAACAGAAAAAGGGCCGGACTTGAAACAAAAAGCATTACTGGAAAAAAATTCTATACAAGCCCAATAATGCGTCGTGCCAGAATCATGTTCAGATATAGAGGCAGAAAAGATGAATTAAAATTGAAAACTAAAAAACTATTACTCAGACGTAAAAGAAAGCACTCATAGGGCTTCAAAATAAAGAAAATAGTGAATTTATTTTAAGAAGACGCGCAATTGCATATAACCAACGTTTCAGTCCAACTACCTTGACATATTAAGGAAAGTTTGGTAATGGGACTGAAATGGTGAATGTATGCTGTTACACAATTGTAAACAATTATGTTATGTTGTTTATTTCGAAGTTCTAGGAGTGTGCTCTTAACTTTGGCTGAGATCATCAAACTTGATCATCTCAGCCAATCCAATGCTTTCCCATTAACATTTGTAATATTTTTTAAAAATTTGATATAGTAATACTGTATATTTTTTAAATATATATATATTTTGATATTTTAATATGTTGAGACAATAATTTTAAAATTTGATTGAAAAATATGAAATCATTTTGAAAGCTTATACAACAAAATTAATTTGAGGCAAAGGTGTGGCTGCTGTGGTGACAGTTTACACAGCGTGTGTTTCTGTCCTGTACCAGCGAGTGACTAACTTGAGATTTGTTGGTATCTTTGGGACATTACTGGCGATGAAATAACGCCAATCCGAGTTGGTAAATAGCAGCCACGTATAAATACCAGCTATTAATAGTGACAGCTTATCACCTAGACTGCCCATGTGCCCAGGCCAACAGGTGAGATCCTTTGATCTCCCCTGCTGGTCCATAGAGACCTGGCTAAGTTTTCTTCCTGTGGGCCCTCTCGGGCAGGTGGGAAGATCAAAGATCAAATATCTCCCTCACCGGCCCTTCGTTAGAGAGAGATGGAGGAGGGACCTGGAAGGCAGTTCCTCCCATGAACATGCTGTGTGGAACGTTGCCACACGTTGCCATGGCAACACTCCTACACAACATTCTGCTTGCGGAAGGAGTGAAGATAGCCTGCAGCCAGAGGAGCTGCATGCTGTTGAGATATAATACCACCGGACCACCAGGGCACACCGCACCTCTCACACTCTGCAACCCTAACACACATAGAGCACCCCTCACATCAAAGCACCCCTCACATCAAAGCACCCCTCACACACAGACACACCGCACCCCCCCACACACAGCACCCCTCACACACAGCACCCCTCACACACAGCACCCCTCACACACAGCACCCCTCAAATACACGCACTGCAAACCCCCCCACGCACAGCACCGCTAATACACAGCACTCACACACAACACCCCTCACACTCTGCAACCCCCCCACACACCACCCATCACACTCACACACAACACCCCTCACACTCTGCAACCCCCACACACACCACCCCTCACACTCTGCACTCCTCACTTACACACAGCACCCCTCACACACACCTCACCTCTCACACACACAACACCTCTGACACACAGCACCCTTCACTCTCTGCCACCCTCACACACACATATACAGCACCCCTCACCCCTCAAACAGCACCACTCACACACACACAGCACCCCTCACATACACGCACTGCAACCCACTGTAATACTTATTTTGTAATATTTCTTTAACTGGAACTCAACTGCAGCATTTCTTGGTTGCAACAACAATAAGGTTCACCTCCTTTTATATTTGTATGAAACTATGGTCACTGTACCTTTAAATATCCATGTAGGTAAAATTAGGCTTTGTAGCAATCCCTTATGAGTAAGAGGAATAATTAGACAAAGTGACACTTTAGTGAGTTTTAGATACTGTGTAATAAAAATAATAGTAATTGACTTGTTTGGTAAAAGTATTACTTAACTTAAAGGTAGTTCTGGCACTGGAAGGGTTAATTCACCCAATGAAGGAGAAATTAGAAGTCCGTTTCAACAAGCTGAGAACTAGGAGTGGAGAGTGGGGAAGTCCGTTTTAACAAGCCGAGGTCTGGGAGTGGAGAAGGTAGAATTCAGAGTTACAAGCCGAGGTCTAGGAGTGGAGAAGGTAGAAATCCGTTTACAAGCCGAGGTCGAGAAGTGGAGAAGGTAGAAATCCGTTTACAAGCCGAGGTCGAGAAGTGGAGAAGGTAGAAATCCGTTTACTAGCCGAGGTATAGAAGTGGAGCAGGTAGGATCAGAAGTAGAGCAGCTGATCTTCATGCAGCACCTGTGCGAATAATTCAGCCCTTTGAATCTGGCGCGGTCCTCCTAAGTATCGTGGAGGGACCGCGTCAGAGAAAGGGGCGGGGCTGAGCGCCGTGAACCCGGAAGTGGGTTCCGGCGATAAATTACATGCCATGCTATACCTGACAGTACCCCCTTCTCATGGGGCATCCTCTGGGTGCACTATTTCGGTTTGGAGGGATAGCGTTTGTGAAAGGCAGTAACTAACCTCCTAGCATGTACATTAGATGAATCTTCCCAAGTGTCTTCATCAACTCCATAACCTTTCCATCTGATAAGGTATTGTAAGGAGCCACGGTGGACACGAGAATCCAAAATTTTGTGAATTTCATATTCTTCTTCACCTTGGACAATGATAGGTTCAGGAGTTGTTACTATTTCCCTATAAAAAGGATCAGGGATGTGTGGTTTAAGTAAGGAGACATGGAATACTGGATGAAGTTTAAAACTTGGAGGAAGTTTTAGTTTAACAACGTTATCATTAATGATAGTAATTACTTGAAAGGGACCAAGAAAAAGAGAGCTCAATTTCTTTGAAGGACGGCTTGTGGTAATATTCCTTGAAGAGAGCCAGACAAGATCCCCTACCTTGTAAGGAGGGGGAATTCTTCTATTATTGTCAAAAAACTTTTTCTGGTTATTTTGGGCGAGTTGAAGATTCTCCCGTAATTTGAAAAATAGAGAAGACATAAATTCATTTTTTGATGTAACAGTAGGATTGGATGAAGTAATGGTTTGGATGGGGAATGAAGACGGATGAAAACCATAGTTGGAGAAGAAAGGAGTCATTTTCGTACTAGAATGAATGGTATTATTGTAAGAAAATTCGGCCATAGGTAACCATGTGGTCCAGTCATCTTGGAGGTATGAACAATAACATCGAAGATATTGTTCCAAACATTGGTTAACCCTTTCTGTTTGCCCATTAGTTTGGGGATGATAAGCGGAAGAGAGTTTGCGTTGAATTTGAAGGGAGAGACACATCTCTTTCCAGAATTTGGAGGTAAATTGTGTCCCCCTATCAGAAATAATTTCTTCAGGAAGACCATGAAGTTTCACAATATTGTCAATAAAGACCTTAGACAATTCTACAGAGGAGGGTAATTTTTTTAAAGAAATGAAATGGGACATTTTTGTGAAGCGATCCACAACGACAAGAATAGTGGTGAAATGTTGAGAAGGTGGAAGATCAACGATAAAATCCATAGAAATGGATTGCCAAGGTTTTTCTGGAATAGGTAAGTTAAGTAGTAATCCAAAAGGTTGATTATGTTCTGGTTTAGACCTTTGACAGATAGGACATGTTTTGACATATAATGCAATGGTTCTATCCTGGCGAGGCCACCAATAATATCGTGAAGTTAGTTCAAGTGTTTTCTTTATTCCAGGATGTCCAGCTAGGGGGGAATCATGAACCATCTTAAGTAATTTATTCCTAAGAATGGGAGGAATATAAATTCTATTTTTAAAATAAAATAGACCATCCTTTTTTGTTAGTATAGGTGTTTTGGGAAGTTCAAGATCCTTCTGATTCAAATTCTTTATGTCATCATGAAGAGAAGAGAGGATTCCTATTATTTTGGTAGAAGGATAATCATCAGTAGTAGTTTTAGAAGGAATTCGAGAAAGAGCGTCAGCCTTTTTATTTCTATTTCCAGGTCTGTATATTAATTGGAAGTTAAATCGGTTAAAGAATAGGTTCCATCTAACTTGTCTAGCTGTAAGGGTTTTGTTAGTATAGAGATATTCAAGATTTTTATGGTCAGTATAAACTATTATAGGTTGTTTTGTATCTTCCAGAAGATGACGCCAATTTTCGAAGGCAGCTTTAACACTTAATAATTCTTTTTCACCAATAGGATAATTTTTTTCAGCAGAGCTCAAGGATCTTGAAAAAAAGGCAACTGGATGAAGTGGATCTTGTGGAGTCTTTTGTTGAGAAAGAACTGCTCCGATGGCTGCATCTGATGCATCAACTTCAAGAACATATAGGAATGTTGGATTAGGTAGTTGTAGAATAGGTGCAGTTGTAAATCTTTTTTTTAATTCGTCGAAGGCTGTTTGAGCATCTTTATTCCAATTAAAAGGACGTTTACTACTGTTGAGGAGGTTAAGAGGATGTGATACATCCGAATAGTTTCTAATAAATTTTCTATAGAAGTTTGCAAATCCAAGAAAACGTTGTAATTCTTTTGTAGTAGTAGGAGCAGGCCAATCAATAATACATTTGATTTTGGAATTATCCATCTTCAAAGAATGAGGTGAAATAATGTATCCTAGAAAAGAGAATTCAGTAACCTCAAAAAGGCATTTTTCTGGTTTAGCGTATAATTTATGAGTTCTCAGTCTAGATAGAACCCATCTAACATGTTTCCTATGTTCATCCAAATTGTTAGAATATATTAAGATATCATCTAAGTAGATAATAACACATACATCCAGAAGATCTCTAAAGATATCATTGATAAAATGTTGAAACGTTGCAGGGGCATTACAGAGCCCGAAAGGCATCACTAGATATTCGTAGAGACCATATCTTGTCCGGAAGGCGGTTTTCCATTCATCATCCTGTTTTATTCTAATGAGGTTATATGCGCCTCGAAGGTCGAGTTTAGTGAATATAGTTGCAGTTCTTAACCTTTCAATTAATTCATTTATTAGTGGAAGAGGATAACGATTTTTAATAGTTATTTTATTTAAGGCTCTGTAATCTATAATAGGACGGATGGTTTGGTCTTTATTCTTCACAAAGAAAATACTAGAAGCAGCAGGAGAGGTCGAGGGTCTGATGAACCCTTTGCGTAAATTTTCATTAAGATATTCTTTTAAAATTTCTAACTCCTTTTCAGAGAGTGGATAAATATGACCATAAGGAATAGGAGCTCCGGGTATGAGATCTATTGGGCAATCATATAGCCGATGAGGAGGAAGTGTTTCCGCTTCTTTTTTACAAAAGACATCTGCAAAATCGGAGTAGAATGGAGGTATAACTGGTTCTACAGTAGTTTGGAGAATAGGAATGTGTTGTAAGCACGTTTTTTTACAGAAATCAGAAGCAAAGGAGATGGAGAAGGGAGACCACTTAATTAAAGGATCATGGTTTTTTAACCAATTAATTCCTAGAATGACGGGATAAAGTGGAGATTTAATAATATCAAATGTAATGAATTCGAAATGTACGTTGTTGGTAATCATTCTTAGAGGGATTGTTTCATCTTTGATGGGTCCTGAGGATATAAATGAACCGTCAATAACTCTGATTGGAATAAAATTGGTTTTTTGAACACAAGGAATTTTATTTTTTGAAACAAAAGAAAAATCAAGAAAAGTTCCATTAGCACCAGAATCAATGATGGCCTCAGTCACGATTCTTTTTGTATCCCACTGTAATATGAGAGATATAGAAAAATAAGTAGATGCTTTTCTTTTTTGAAAAACGTTCAATATAGAGGTAGATGAATGAAGCTTACCACCTTTTGAATGTTTCAGTAGAGGACATTCGGAAATTAGATGTTCATTCGAAGCACAATACATACATAAGTTTAGTTGTCTCCTTCTTATTCTTTCTTCAGAAGTAAGAGGACTTTTTATTATACCTACTTCCATAGGTTCAGTTTGTGGAGGAATTTTTTCAGGTAGTTTTAGAGTAGTGAAAGGTTTTCTCCAGGTATAATTAGTAAGAACCCTTTCAGCTTTTCTTTCTCTTAGACGTCTATCAATACTGATAGACAGTTGAATCAATGCATTTAAGGTAGGAGGAAGTTCTGTACGAGAGAGTTCATCTTTCACAGCTTCAGATAATCCGAGACGGAATTGATTGCGTAAAGTAATGTCATTCCATTGGGTTTCTGTAGCCCATCTTTTGAATTCTGCAATATAATCTTCAACAGGTCTATTCTTTTGGTGTAATGTTCTGATGGTTAAATCAGCAGTAGTTTGTTTAAAAGGATCTTCATATAATAAAGACATAGCTTCAAAGAACTCATCCAATGAATCCAATATGGGATCATCATTTTCCAAAAAGGAATGGGCCCATGCCATAGGTTCACCTCTTAAAAAAGAGATCACTGAACAGACTTTGGATCTTTCGGTGGGATAAGATCTAGGTTTTAAAGCAATTAGTAGTTTGCAAGAATTCAAAAACTCTCTGTACTTTGTTCTATCTCCATGAAATTTTTCTGGATTACAGACAGCAGGATCACCAGCCGATTGAAGAGCGGCATGAGGAAGATGACCTTGAATGTCTCTAACATAGGTTAATATTCTCTCATTTGTAATTTGCAGTTCCTGTAACCCTTGAGCAATCGTATCCACTCTATTGGTTAGGGCAGAAACTTGAGAGTTAATATCTGCTGGTTCCATTGAAGAGGCTGAATTATTCTGTAATACTTATTTTGTAATATTTCTTTAACTGGAACTCAACTGCAGCATTTCTTGGTTGCAACAACAATAAGGTTCACCTCCTTTTATATTTGTATGAAACTATGGTCACTGTACCTTTAAATATCCATGTAGGTAAAATTAGGCTTTGTAGCAATCCCTTATGAGTAAGAGGAATAATTAGACAAAGTGACACTTTAGTGAGTTTTAGATACTGTGTAATAAAAATAATAGTAATTGACTTGTTTGGTAAAAGTATTACTTAACTTAAAGGTAGTTCTGGCACTGGAAGGGTTAATTCACCCAATGAAGGAGAAATTAGAAGTCCGTTTCAACAAGCTGAGAACTAGGAGTGGAGAGTGGGGAAGTCCGTTTTAACAAGCCGAGGTCTGGGAGTGGAGAAGGTAGAATTCAGAGTTACAAGCCGAGGTCTAGGAGTGGAGAAGGTAGAAATCCGTTTACAAGCCGAGGTCGAGAAGTGGAGAAGGTAGAAATCCGTTTATAAGCCGAGGTCGAGAAGTGGAGAAGGTAGAAATCCGTTTACTAGCCGAGGTATAGAAGTGGAGCAGTTAGGATCAGAAGTAGAGCAGCTGATCTTCATGCAGCACCTGTGCGAATAATTCAGCCCTTTGAATCTGGCGCGGTCCTCCTAAGTATCGTGGAGGGGCCGCGTCAGAGAAAGGGGCGGGGCTGAGCGCCGTGAACCCGGAAGTGGGTTCCGGCGATAAATTACATGCTATGCTATACCTGACACCCACGCACAGCACTCACACACACACACAACACCCCTCACACATAGCACCACTCATACTCTGCACTCCTTACATACACACACAGCACCCCTCATACACAGCACCCTCACACACAGCAACCTCTCACACACACACGCACAGAACCCCCACAGGCACACACACAGCACCCCTCACATGCACACACAGAGCACCCTTTACATACTGCACCCCTACACACACACACAGCACCCATACACTGCACCCCTCGCTGCAGTTTGGGTGTATTCAGCAGTCTCTGTGTGTTTTTTCAGTCTGTTAAGACTGCACTGGAATAAAAGCTTTCTCATTTGGTTTGATCCCACAGAAGAGCTAATGTAGCTCAAATTGCTGAAAACCTTAATGCTGACCATGATAACACTCAGTATATCACAGTTTGGCCATGATGACCCCTGTCCACTGCCAAACGCGCCTTCAATGGGGACAAGAACATCAGAGTTGGACTATTGGGCAATGGAAGAAGGTTGCTTGGTCTAATGAATCATATTTTCTTTTAGATCAAGTAGATGGCTTGGTGTGTGCGTCGTTTACCTGGAGAAGAGATGACAGCAGGATGCGCTATGGGAAGAAGGCAGGCCTGCTGAGCCACTGGGCAATGTTCTGCTAGGAACCTTGGGTATTGGCATTCATGTGGATGTTACCTTGAAATGTAACACATACCTAGAGATCGCTGCAGACCACCAGTGGCGGAACTACAGCAGGGGCAGCTGCACGGGGGGCCGCAAACCTATTGGCCATTATCTGATGACCATCTTTCATCAAGGGCCTGGTCAGCTGCCATGGCCTGTTAACAGTGCGTAAAGCCGTGGTGCTGAGAGGAAGTGAGTACAAATCACTTCCTCCCAGCTTAGCAATGAGGTGCGCGGGAAAGGGAGAGAGGGGATGACAATAAAGAGTAGGAAGACAAGGACCAGAGAAGAGAGAGAGCCAGACTCCCATCAGACTCAGCCATAAGTCACTGGAAACTAGGAAAGCTACCTCCCTGCACCAAAAAGAAATGGAAGCAAAGGGGATGGCTAAAATATGTAAATAGTGATCTCTGTGTTCCTATGTCAATGTGTGTATATCTGTGAATGTGTATGTGTATGTATGTGTCAGTGTGTTTCAGTGTGTATGTGCGTACATCCCAGCATTCAAATGCCAACTCTGCATGCAAACACATTTAAACACAAACATTTCACACAAATACAGCTCTGCTTTCAGATAGCAACAATACATACAAACACAAACACCACACACAAACATAAACATTCATTCAAACACACATAACATGCGTACATTCAAACACAAATACTGCACATATACAGCTCTGCAAGAATGGGGACATCGTAAAACACCAGCTGGCAAAGCATATTTGGGAGTTGTATGACAGATGGGGATCTGCCTTTTGGCCATGGTTACGCTAGAAGAGGCCCTCTCTACATTAGTTCTACAGACCGCGTACACACGTTCATGGCAATGGTGTTCCCTGATGGCAGTGGCCTCTTTCAGCACGATAATGCACCCTGACACACTGCAAAACTGTTCAGGAATGGGTTGAGGAACATGACAAAGAGTTCAAGGTGTTGCCTTGGTCTCCAAATTCCCCAGATCTCAAGCCAACTGAGCATCTGTGGGATGTGCTGGAACAACAAATCCAATCCACGGATGCCCCACCTCGCAACTTGCAGGATCTGCTGCTAATGTCTTGGTGTCGGATACCACAGGACACATTCAGAGGTCTTGTGGAGTCCATGCCTCAATGCATCAGAGCTGTTTTGCAGCACGAGAAGGACCTACATGATATTGGGCCGGCTGTGTTAATGTTGTGTCTATAGGATTGTGAATTAAGGTAACCCAGCATTCAAGCATTTACCTGCGCAGTGACGTCGGAGTAGAAGCTGCAGTTTCCACAAAGGTCTTTGTAGTAAGTGGTACGAATAGCAACCTCTACAAAGGAGTAATGGAGATAGCTATACGGAAGACGCAAATGGAAAACGAGGCGACCGCACCTAGGAGGTAAAAACATAGAAAGAGACCTCACATTGTATTACTAAATAATAAAATAACATTTACAAAACACAGTGTATTGCACCAGAATGGACAGCAGGGGGCAGCAGTGTGTAAGGCATTACAATGGGCAAGACGAGAAGTATATTTATTTACCAAAAACCAAATCGCAATATTTAGGCCAAAATAGGGAAAATTAATATATTCTCCATCTCCGTTATATAGCCAGAGTTCGTCCATTTCAGACTGAATTTTGCTATTTATCAGTCCATTCAGCACCCAAACATGTGAATAGGGGGTTTATAACACAGCATGTGTAAATTATTTCAATGGAAAAAAATAACTCAATACTTTTTATTTACGGATTTTCATGTTCAGATAGGAGTTTCTACAGAGTTATTCGGTAAAGTGTGAATTATTGGGACTGTAACATGAATGTCAAATATAAGGCAAAAATAGCCAAGATTAAAACAAAGCCGAAATTTCTGCTTATTTTTTTTGGAATAAAATGTGAATCTCACTTTCAAAGTTACTATAAGTCATACTATAGTGAATACTTGTGAAAGTCCCATCTAAACTGCAAATCAAAACACGACATAGAGCAAAGTATTTTGCTGATTAACTGGTGAGCCACCAACTTACAGTGATTTGTTCTACTCGGCCAAATGAATGTGGCACATTAGATATTATGCATTTATTTAAATATAAACCAGCCAGTATAAGGATCTGTCACAGTTGTGGGTATTGCCAACTTGCCTGCTATTCCTGTTCTCACTGTTTGTCATCTTGTTGAAATATTCAGTAAACATAAGATAGCCAAACACAGCAATGGAAAGGAACCTACTTGTTACATAGTTACATAGTTACATAGCTGAAAAGAGACTTGTGTCCATCAAGTTCAGCCTTCCTCACAAATGTTGTTGCTGTTGATCCAAAAGAAGGCAAAAAACCTGGTCTGAAGCGCTTCCAATTTTGAAACAAACTAGGAAAAAATTCCTTCTTGACCCCAAAATAGCAGTCAGATGTCTCCTTGGATCAAGCAGCTATTACCCCACTAATTAGAAATTATATCCCTGTAGGTTATGTTTTTGCAAGTATTTATCCAACTGCAGTTTAAATATCTGTATGGACTCTGACAAAACCACCTCTTCAGGCAAAGAATTCCATATCCTTATTGCTCTTACTGTAAAAAAAAAACAACTTTTCTTTGCCTTAGATGAAATCTCCTTTCTTCCATACTAAATGTGTGACCTCGTGTCCTATGTATAACCCTGTTTATGAATAGATTTCCAGATAAAGGTTTGTACTGGCCCCGAATATATTTGTGCCTAAGCAATGAGCAGGTTGCTGCCATGTTTTAGAATATAGACTGCCGCTGGGCGATGTTTTTATATAGAACTGCCCAGGAAGCCCTAAATAATCATCTGATATGAAAAAAAAAAAATAGAGCGTCTCGTGTAAGAAGCAGTCAGGGTCGCCACCTGCTCACTGCTGATTGGCTGGTGCACTGACGCTACCCGGCACGTCCCCAAAGCTGATGAGATGTCAGGTTACAAGGAGGGCAGTATTTCTGCTCAGATAAATATTAATTTTACTGCACTCAGCCTGCAAGAGTATATTAAAGGGAGTAGCCTTAGACCTTCCCCGAGAATGTGGCAAACGGTTTAACAGTGGCCATGGTGGTCATGGTGCTTGGAATAACCCTTTAACTTTTGTAAAAATAAGATACAAAACTTACAATGTAATTGTAATGTTACTCTAAACGTTTTTCTGTTTATGATTTTTGGATAATAATAATAATTTTTGGATTACAGACTTTGAATGTCTGCGTTATGAAATGAGTTGTCCTTTCTGTAGACATACATAGACAACTTGCCTTACAGATAAGTTTTGAATTAAAATTCCAACGCAACAAGCAGATATTTAGTATTTTCATGAAAATTAGATTGCTATGAAAAACTGAAAACATTAGAGAAATTCAAGCAAATCATGTTTTACATCCTTTTTACATACATGATGGAAAAAATATGTAGCTTTGGAAATAGCAATCCAGTTTGCATGAATATATGTACATCATTTATATTTATATCATGCAGGCAAATAAATTATGTATAAAATATATAGAGCCGAGCTGCTATTCTGTGATCTGAAAACATTAGTCTACTGCCACCTACCGGTCATAGACCAGAAAGTCATCTTTGTCCCCATTGAGGATTTCCCAGACATCCTCCTGTTCGAGGGTTTGTTGGTACACGGGGATGTGAGCTGGGGCTCTGCTCCGCAGGAGAGGAAACAAGTGCTGTGAATACGCGCTCTGGTCATTCACTATTATGTAGCTGACATTGTCCAGGCCCTGTCTGGTCAGATTCGCACTCAGGGGACCCATGCTACAGGAAGACAGAAAAAAAACAGACAAAAGGTTTATTGGAGGACCTGCACATTCAAATAATATAAATAATACCTTCAAGGCCCAAGGAATATATTAAAGGGACACTCCTGACCCCTAAAGCAGTTTAATGTGACAAAATGCATTATATGTAAAGAGGGTGTCCTCTTTTTTTATTTTACAATAAGTGCACATTTTAATAGAAATTGGCACTTTTATAAATTAACCTGGTTACACCCCTCTGGCTGTCAATCAGACAACTGATCATGTTACTTCCTGGTTTGTTTAGCTCAGGGGAGACAAACAGGGATTTTTAATTTTTTTTTCTATTTGTTTAGGGTCCTTTTAAGTAAATAAGCCCCCGGTTTACTAACTTGGCTGCCTGCACCAGGCAAAAGCTGCAGCTGGCTTGAAGAAGGGCCACGACCGTCACTTGACCAAGTGTTTTATTCATGGGTACTTCATCCCCGATGCTCCAGACGGGGGCGGGAGAACAGATGAAAGGTGTAATCGGCAGTGACGATGTCTGGGTCACTAGCAGCCCCAACAGGGTGCTCAGAACTAAAGCTTGAAGCTTCATCACAGAGCGCCACTAGCAGCCTAGAAAAGGAAGCACAGAGGTAGATAGCAATGTCAGGTTAGACATATTTTTACAATATGGGACACAGATTGAACATCTTCACTTTCTTCGAATATTAACAACCTGGTAAATAGATACATGTTTATTTCACATGTCCACATAGATTAAAGGTACCCTATAAGCCCCCTCTGAGTGCCTGGTCTTCTGTCTATACAGACATGGAGAACGTGGGAAACACGATACAGGGAATAGGGGGCTTATTCACTAAAATGGTAATTGTAGGCCAATATTGGCAAATTAAATATTTCACTTTCAAAATACTTTTGCCATTTGATAAACATATATATATATATATATATATGAATATATATATATTTATATATGTATTTGAATTTTTTTATTACAAATGTTATAATTTTCATTATAATTTTTGTTCTCTCTACATTACTCAAAAAAACTCATAAGTAGCATTAATACCATGTGTAAACAAGTGAAAACACAGGGTTAATGAGTAACATTAATACCATGTGTAAATATAGGGTTAATGAGTAATATCAATACCGCGTATAAATATAGGGTTAATGAGTAACATTAATACAGCGTATAAATATAGGGTTAATGAGTAACATTAATACGGCGTATAAATATAGGGTTAATGAGTAACTATAATGCCGCGTATAAATATAGGGTTAATGAGTAACATTAATACCGCGTATAAATATAGGGTTAATGAGTAACATTAATACCGCGTATAAATATAGGGCTAATGAGTAACATTAATACGGCGTATAAATATAGGGTTAATGAGTAACATTAATACGGCGTATAAATATAGGGTTAATGAGTAACATTAATACCGCGTATAAATATAGGGTTAATGAGTAACATTAATACTGTGTATAAATATAGGGTTATTGAGTAACATTAATACCGCGTATGAATATAGGGTTAATGAGTAACATTAATGCCGCGTATGAATATAGGGCTAATGAGTAACATTAATGCCGCGTATAAATATAGGGTTAATACTGTGTATAAATATAGGGTTAATGAGTAACATTAATACCGCGTATAAATATAGGGTTAATGAGTAACATTAATGCCGCGTATAAATATAGGGTTAATGAGTAACATTAATGCCGCGTATGAATATAGGGCTAATGAGTAACATTAATGCCGCGTATAAATATAGGGTTAATACTGTGTATAAATATAGGGTTAATGAGTAACATTAATACCGCGTATAAATATAGGGTTAATGAGTAACATTAATGCCGCGTATAAATATAGGGTTAATGAGTAACATTAATGCCGCGTATGAATATAGGGCTAATGAGTAACATTAATGCCGCGTATAAATATAGGGTTAATACTGTGTATAAATATAGGGTTAATGAGTAACATTAATACCGCGTATAAATATAGGGTTAATGAGTAACATTAATGCCGCGTATGAATATAGGGCTAATGAGTAACATTAATGCCGCGTATAAATATAGGGTTAATACCGTGTATAAATATAGGGTTAATGAGTAACATTAATACCGCGTATAAATATAGGGTTAATGAGTAACATTAATACCGTGTATATATTTAGGGTTAATGAGTACAATAAAAGTTTTTAGATGCACAGATATAACTTTGGGTCGGTCTATGATTTGGAAGTGGGCAGCAGTTACACAACTAGAGAACAGGCAACTATGACAGAGTATAAACCTACAAAACACAAACTGCTAAACACAACTATAGGTTATTTTACAATAATTGGGTCAATATAAAGCTATCATCCTCATGCAAGAGTGCCCCCCACCCCCTCCAATTCTTCTATTTTAATTTGATGAAAAATTTGTAATTCTCTGGCCAATACCCCATAATTGATGGCCAAGAACCCACCGGAGTTTCATTGTGACAATCACATGTGACTAAATCTTGCGGGTGTAGATTGAAATGTTGTCTAGGTACACAATTCACTCCAAATAGCTTTACGAGAGATAAAATGTTCTTTCATTTAAAAAAAAAAATTTTTTTCATTTTATTTTTGCTGTGCAGAGAATTATAACAACAGGCTTGGGGTAACCCAACGGCATTCCCCTCGCTGGATATCATCGCTTGGTATAATCAATGGTAATCAAGAATACATGCACATTTTAGAGTTTTTTAAGAAAACGTTAATCATGCTTATACATAACATGAGATTGTTCGGTGTGAGTTAGCTTAGTGTGGCTGGCTAGATTGGGCAATGTTTCATTTATTTTACTTCTATGAAAGGGAAGTGAATCTGACCGCACATTATAAGGATTCCTTCTCCAGAGATCTCACAGTCATCTCTTATAGAAAATACATAGTGCAGGGCTCCAAATAAACTCATTACTGCCCTGCGTTATGCATATTTTATATAAATCTCTTATTAAAATAGATGGCATTTTAACAAAGCACACAGCCTAACCTTTACTGTTTATCACAAAGGAAATGTAAAATATCCTCAATTGCATTAAAATAATCTTCTCACACCCACTCAGTAAATAAAGTTAATGTTAAATTAGAGCTAAAAATATTTAAAGGAACACTTTAACTTTCTATATAAATAAATACATATATATTTTAGTTTGTTGGTGCTTCATCCTGTTGAATTCAGGCCCCGTCCCCCCAAAGTTACCCATATGAATCTCTTTTTGTATATAAAAAGCGTAGCATTGATTGTAAAGATTCTATATATCCCAAAAAAGAAACAACCATTTTACAACTACACCTAAAATATCAAGTTCAACAGATTACTAAAGGCATCTGATTGGGTTATTCTCAGATTAAGTTAAATTGTTGAGAACTACGACCGACTTCGATCTTTGTCTAGCCCTTGGCAAGTTGCCCCATCTGTGTCTATAAATGACGGTATCTGCTAATAAAGGCTCTGCAAGAATAGTAATAAGAGTATTGAAGATACAGTATCTATCTGTGCAGGAACCACTCATCCATAGCCTGATCTCAGACTGACACTCAAATTTACCCACGTGCAACACAAAAGCAATATTGTTTATTAAGCGCAAATCTCCACTCACAGGATAGAGTCGGGGGTCTCTAGTTGTCCAGTGCCAGAAGTACCAGACCAGTTTAAAGGTTTGTTGGCAACTCCTGTGTTAAAGGCTCGCAGACTCCTCCCCGGTGGAGGGGGAGAGCTCTCATCACCTATCAATGAGTTATCAGGGTCAACGTCCCTGAAAGAACATCCAAGGACAGGGGACAAACACCCTGCCAGGCAGCGACTCATCTCATTATTGGTGTTTGGCATTAGAATGCACTAAATCAATGGCTTTATGGTAAGTATGAATGAGCACTGCTGGAATACTCAGTTTATAAAGGGGGATGGGGGAGGGGGTGTTGTGTGTATTCAGTATCCATACCTTATTTCTTAATTTGGAAGTTCCGAATGTGGATGCCTGTATATAATGCCTTCTCCCTCCTGTAATCCATTTGAATAGGATGTACTCCAACTTTAATTATACACAGCATCCTGTAGATTGTAAGCTCACGTGTGCAGGACTCGCACCATCTCTTATTACTTTATGAAAAAAATAAAAACAGGTCAAACGACACTCGGAAAAAGGTAGATCTAGAAGATGCATGCATTCTGATAGGGAATCTGTCTATATCAACTTAAAGGACCACTATAGGCACCCAGACCACTTCAGCTCAATGAAGTGGTCTGGGTGCCAGGTCCATCTAGGGTTAACCCTGCAGCTGTAAACATAGCAGTTTCAGCAGTTTCTCATTGACAGCCACTAGAGGCGCTTACGCGCTTCTCACTGTGATTTTCACAATGAGAAGACGCCAACGTCCATAGGAAGGCATTGAGAAATGCTTTCCTATGGACTGAATGAAAGCGCATTTAGCCGATGACGTCGGGAGGAGGAGGAGAGTCCGGCACTGGAGAAAGGTGAGTGTATAACCCCTTCCTCCCCCTAGAGCCCTGCGGAAGGGGGGCCATGAAGGTGAGGGGGACCTAGTAACACTATAGTGCCAGGAAAACGAGTATGTTTTCCTGGTACTATAGTGGTCCTTTAATGTGGAGCGATTTTAGAATTTGGTATGTTTGTCTTGTAAGCTTAATAGCCATAAAAGAAAACAAAATTGCCACACAAAAGTATATATTTATATAAAGTAGACATCACTGGCTATTTACCTAAGGTTGTTTTGACACTTTCTACGTAGCCATTTCACCGCCAACCTCTGCTAAATATTGGAGTAAAATTGTGTTTTTTTTTGTTTTTGGCACACAAACTTATAACAAAGAAATTCTCGTGTATATTTTGTAAAGTTGGTGTGTGCTATTCCTGTACAAAGTTTTATTTTGTGTTCAGTTACATCTGCTGAGTAAAATGACACCCCCATTGTATGTCTTTGGCACTATTTCGTGAAGTTACAGTGCCATATAGGAGACCTGTCCTTTTCAGTATTCACAGTAGAATTTTGAGAGATGGATTTAATGAGCCTTAGCTTCCATTTGGGGTATTATAACAGTTTGACTGTTCAAAAAACCCCCCACAAAGGCCTACCATTTGTAAAAGTAGACACTCCAGGGTATCTCATAAGGTGCATATTGTGCCTTAACATGCCCCCATTTTTTCACCAATATATGCCAAAGTATGTGGTAAAAAATTATTTTGTGCATTTTTTACATACGGATTGCATTTTTGCTGGGCATTTTGTATATTTCATATGTGCCACTAAGTTCAAACCCCCAAATTATGCTCAGCTAAGTCTTCTGAGTAAAAAGACACCCCCAATGAATGTCTTTGGCACTATTTTGTGAAGCTACAGTGCCATATAGGAGACCAAGCCATATCAGTTTTTACCGAACTTTGAATTTTGACACTGGGCCTATGTGCAATTTCCAAGCATCTTCGCAGGTTTTAAATTCAAACTACCCCACAAAGCCATACCACTTCTTAAAGAAGACATCCCAGGGTATTTCAAAAGGCATATTTTGAACCTTAGCGTGGGATAATTTTTCCGCTAGCTTGTACCAAGTGTAGTGGTAATAAGCGTTTTTTCTGCCTTTTTGACACACAAAGTGAGTTTGCACAGAATATTTTGCAAACCTTATGCGTGCTACAACTGTATAATACTTCATATGTTGCTCAGCTATGTGGTCTGAGTACAGCAATACCCCCGTATGTACCTTTGCCAAGTATATGGGGATGTTGAAGGAGCACATTTGAGAAGAACCATTCAGTTTTACGCTGTGTCCATGTTCCAATTTGGAGTAGTTTAGATGGTTGGTTATTGAAACTTCCCCATACACACATACTATTTATTAAAGAGTACACCCTGTGGTAATTCAAAAGGCATATTTAGAACCTTGGCGTGGGATCATTTTTTCTCTAGTTTGTTCCAGGTGTAGTGGTAATGAGCGTTTTTAAATGTATTTTTTTTAACTTTTTTAAACTTTTTTTACTTTTTAAAACTAGTTTTTAAACTTTTGTTTTGCTTATTATTTTTTTTAAACTTTCCTAAAACTTTTTTTTACAGCTTTAACATTTTTCTAAGCTTTTTTTTACCGTTAACCCCTAACTAGCAGTAAGCAGCACTAACAGTAAATTCCGCCCTTTCCAATAACTCCCACCCACCCCAGCTAGCAAAATATATAATTATAAAATATTTAAATCAGTTAATTAAATAAATTGAACCCCTGAGGGTTAAAAAATAAATAAAAGTTAATTGTCAGGGGTTGAAAAAAATTAGATCACAGTATAATACTGTGATCTGTATTTTGATCACTGTAGGCAGTGATCGACTGGCAGGGAAGGGGTTAATTTTTATTTGGACTGGCTAAAAGGGGGGTGGTTTTTTATTTTTTACTTAAATGTTTTTTTAACTTAATTTTGAACTTTTTAAAGTTTATTTTAAAACTTTTTTTTAACATTAACCCCTAGTTAGCCTAACACCAAATCCCCCAATTCCCCACTAACTTCCACTCACCCCAGCTAGCTAAATTTATAATTTTAAACTACTTAAATTAATTAATAAAATAAATTTAACCCCTGAGGGTTAAAAAAAAAAGAATTAACCCTCAGGGGTTAAAAAAAAAAATCAGATCATAGTAAAATGTATACCCTGGGTTAATTTTTTATTAAAATTGGTAAAGGGGGGTGGGATTTTAAATTAACTTTATTTTTTTTTAAACAGGGGGCAGGATCATCACTGATCCGTCTCCCTGCACTTCACACAGAACCAGGAGGTAAGTATACTAAGCACATGTGCTCGCTCTGACATACTGTCAGAGCGAGCACATGTGCTGGGCAGCACTATCGGGCGCTCCTGGTCTGCCTCTAATACAGAGGCAGACCGGAGCACCATTAATCCTGCGATCGCCGCTATACTTTTTGACACACAAAGTGAGTTTGCACAGAATATTTTGCAAACCTTATGTGTGCTACAACTGTATAATACTTCATATATTGCTCAGCTATGTGGTCTGAGTACAGCAATACCCCCATATGTACCTTTGACAAGTATATGGGGATGTTGAAGGAGCACATTTGAGAAGAACCATTCAGTTTTTTTCTAACTTTGAAGTTTTACGCTGTGTCCATGTTCCAATTTGGAGTAGTTTATGTGGTTGGTTATTGAAACTTCCCCACAAACACATACTATTTATTAAAGACTACACCCTGGGGTAATTCAAAAGGCATATTTTGAACCTTGGCGTGGGATCATTTTTTCTCTAGTTTGTTCCAGGTGTAGTGGTAATGAGCATTTTTAAATGTATTTTTTTTTACTTTTTTAAACTTTAATAGTATGTTTTCCTGGCACTATAGTGGTCCTTTAAGAACTTTGACAACGAACAAGAGTTTAGAGAAACTCAGTAGTTCGCCCTTCGGTAAATCCCATCTCAGATTTCAAAATAGTTTTTTCTCACTTGAGCAAGCCCGGACTGGCCATCAGGCAAATGCCCGGTCGGCTGCGGTGGCCATGGGCCGAGGCCGGCAGGGGAGATCACAGTACACTCACTCACACACACACACTGCACCCCTGACACTCACAGCACCCTCACTCATACACACATTGCACCCCTGACACTCACAGCACCCTCACACTCACAGCACCCTCACACACACACATACACACTGCACCCTCACACACAGCTTCCTCACACGCACACAGCACCCTCACGCAAACACAGCATCCATCACTCACACACTGCACACACACACTACACCCATCATACACACACTGCACAATATGCTTTTTTAACATTTTTATCTCCTGGTATCCCATCTATGGAGACACCAGAGACAAGTTGCAAGGAAACACAGTGCAAGCATGTGCAGAACAAATACAGGGTCTTTTTCTCATGCTAGAGCTCTTCAGCAGAGCTCTGCGCATGGTCTGCCCTGGAAGATTGTGATGGGGCGTGCTTGTCATTGGTGATGATAAAACACACCCTATCTGGCCCCGCCCCCTTTTTAGTGGGCCAAATTTTCTTCCCAGTCCGGCCCCGCACTTGTGTCATTACAGAGAGAACATAATCTGTAAACATGTCAGACTGATTCCACCCGTAAGGGCAGTCAAGAACCAAAATGCCAGCAAGTTCTCCCTGCACAATTAATACAGCATCCCCAGGCCATCGTTTTGGCCTTCTTTGGGCCTCGTCAGTGAGGTTTAGCTGGTTTCATATAATTTAATTATGGGAATTGAGCGCCGCTGTCAGGTGAACGGGGGCTGGACTACAGATACTGAAGAATGAATCCAACAAAGTAAATATTTGTAGCACAACCTTTGACAAGGCTGATGTAATACTTCCAGGTCTAATGATCTCCAATGTAATATAAAACCAAGAAAACACAAAAAAAGTGACGTACGTCCAAATTATTGCAGAAAATAATATTCCGAAACAATCATATACACTCACATTAGGCAGAGCTTTTTATATCTCAGTGCTTCAAATATTAATCTTTAAGCACCTTGGACAGTATAATTGGCTCTGATTAACAAGTAATGAGAAGCTCTGTAGGTCCATTGTAAGGTAAGTAATGATAAGCTCTGTCTGTAAGTCCCATGTGAGGTAAGTAATGATAAGTTCTGTAAGTCCCATGTGAGGTAAGTAATGAGAAGCTCTGTAAGTCCCATGTGAGGTAAGTAATGAGAAGCTCTGTAAGTCCATTGTAAGGTAAGTAATGATAAGCTCTGTCTGTAAGTCCCATGTGAGGTAAGTAATGAGAAGCTCTGTAAGTCCATTGTAAGGTAAGTAATGAGAAGCTCTGTCTGTAAGTCCCATGTGAGGTAAGTAATGAGAAGCTCTGTAGGTCCCTTGTAAGGTAAGTTTCAGTTTGTGATTGAGTAAGCAAATTTGGACAATATGTACCTGTGTTTGTTGGGAAAATGACCAGATAATTAACCAGCTGTGAGGAATTTGGATAGTTGGATGTTGTGTTTTTACAAATATTTGAGCTCGCTATTGGTTATCTGCCCTTTGCTCTAATAAATTCTCACTCTAACTTCCCCCAACTACAGTATGTGACACTCAAACCTTGCTGGCACTGAAAGGGTTACTGATCACTGAATCTACAACTCTAGAACTAAGGTAACTGGTAAAGTGAAATATGCCTGCACACAGAATCAGGGCTGGACTCTTCTTGCTGTCCAAAGGCCAATTTCTTAATGCACACCCAACCCTTGAAGTAAATACATAAATACCGGGGGGGAGGGATAGGGGCTATAGTGTGTGTTTGGGGGTGGGGGGATTGGGGCTATAGTGTATGTTTGGGGGATAGTGGTTATAGAGTGTGTTTGGGGGTGATAGGGGCTATAATGTGTGTTTGGGGAGGATTGGGGGCTATAGTGTATGTTTGGGGGGATAGTGGTTATAGAGTGTGTTTGGGGGGGTGATAGGGGTTATAATGGGTGTTTGGGGGATAGGGGCTATAGTGTGTGTCTGGGGGGCAGGGACTTATCTTACACGAGACAAACAAGGCATCTGCCTTGGGAGGCACATTGCATGGGGTGGCAAAAAAAGCCGCCCCCAAACACCCAGGCAGATCCCTTGTTTGCCTTGTGTCCTGGGGGGCTCAAGAGCTGGCCGGCTGGCCACTTTTAACCTCCCTCTCCCCCGCCCCCCTCCCCCGAGGCGGGCAGCGGGCAGTGATGGAGAGTGCTCACCTGAGCTCTTCCTGCTCAGCTCCCTCGCGCGCTGCTTAATGAATCCGGGAGCCGGAATATGACATCACTCCGGTTCCTGACATCACTAAGAAGCACGCAAGGGAGCTAAAGCCTGTCGGCCCCCTGCCTGCCCACGCAGCAGCCCCACTGGACTACAGGTAAGCAATCCACTCGAGCTCTCCCAGGGAGGCTGGGTGGATTTAAAATAAAATTTAAAAAAATTATAATTTGTGAGTGTTGGTGGAAATGTGTATATGTGTGTGTGTCTGTGAGTGAATGTGTGTGTGTCTGTAATTGTGTGTGTCTAAGTGAATGTGTCTAAGTGAATGTGTGTGTGTGTCTAAGTGAATGTGTGAGTGAATGTGTGTGTGTGTCGGTCAGTGAGTGTGCATGTGTCGATCAGTGAATGCGTGCATCTGTCAGTGTGTGCGTCTGTCAGTGAGTGTGTGCCGGTCAGTGCATGTGTGTATGTGTCGGTCAGTGCGTGCGTCTGTCAGTCAGTGTGAGTCTGTCAGTGTGTGTCCGAGTAATAGTGTGGGTCTGTCTATCAGTGTGTCAAATCGGTGAGTGTGTGTGTATGTCATTGTTTGTCAGTGTATATGAGTGTGTGTCTGTCAATAAGTGTATGCATCTATCAGTGAATGTGTGCGTCTGTCAGCGAGTGTGCGGCCTTGACAGGAAGGGGTGGGGAAAATTTAAATTGGAGGGGGGGTGCCAAAGCCGGTGCAGGACAAATCCTAAATACACTACTGGCTATAGTGTGTTTTTGGTGGGCAAGGGGTTATACTGTGTTTGGGTGGATAGGGGCTATAGTGTGTGTCTGGGGGTGTTGGGGGTTATAGTGCATGTCTGGGGGGATAGGGGCTATAGTGTGTTTGGGGGATAGGGGTTATAATGTGTGTCTGGGGGTTAGGGGTTATAATGTGTGCCTGGGGGGTAAGGACTATAGTGTGTGTGTCTGGAGGATAGGGGCTATAGTGTGTGTCTTGGGGTGTTGGGGGTTATAGTGCATGTCTGGGGGGATAGGGGCTATAGTGTGTTTGGGGGATAGGGGTTATAATGTGTGTCTGGGGAATAGGGGTTATAGTATGTGCCTGGGGGGTAAGGGCTATAGTGTGTGTCTGGAGGATAGGGCTATAGTGTTTGTTTGGGGGATAGGGACTGTGACGAAGTGCCCTTCGCCACTTGGTCCTGGAGAGGCCTGCTTGCCAGCCTCCTCCCCTGTGACTATGACTCTTTCATGTATTTGGCTTTAAAGCCCCTAGTCTACCTTCAGACAGACTATTTCTGTAGGCTGCTTTATTTATCTTATGTTTTAGTCACCCTGTACCCATTATAGGTGCAGGGTGTGTGTAATGTAATTGTTTATAGTGTGTGTGTGTGTACTGTGAAATGAATTGCCTTCTCTTTCTGTACTGCTGAGGTTTGCTACCAACTAGGTGGGTTTGGCTATGGAGCTTGTCTAGTGCCCTCTGTTGGTAGCAACAGCAATATGCACTACCTGAATAGCAAGACTGGTTCATTTGCATATTTGGGTAGATTTGCATATTGCTAATTCTGCAGGCACGTGAGATATTTTCTGTTAAATATTGTCTCCCCCACTCATTTAAAAATGTGCCATCGTGTTCTGATAAGTCACTGTGTGTTGCCTGCTATGGTTTGACTGTTTGTGATTTTATTGAGTTTTCACAGCAATGTTAATGTGGTGACCCTATGGGCTGGTCCCAAGGGAAATAAAGGTTTAGACAGTTCTTCTTGATCCCTCTAAATGTAGCCTTGTCTCGTTATTGGAGGATGCTGTTATAATCACACTGGGGATTGCTATGCTCTGCATACTCCCCTGAGTTTGAATCACTTAGCTCTTTTAAGAGCTTGTTCCTGACACACTCTCCTTGGAGGAGAGGTCTTCATCACACAGTCCTGGATTCTGGAGGTTCATACAGGGTGGAAGGAAGTGGTCTTTCCCACATGGTCCTGGAGGACAGAAGCTGATCCAGGGTGGATGGAAGACGGCGAGACTCCAGTCAAGCTACAGTGGTTGCGGAGTCTGCGGTGGTTGTGGTGTCTGCTGCAGTGCTTGGAGTCCTCAGGAAGCGCTAGGAGCATCCGTCAACGGAGGGTACTCGGTCGGAGTACAAGGAGCTCCGTTACAGGGACTATAGTGTGTGTGTTGGGGGATAGGGGCTATAGTGTTTGTTTGGGGGGATAGGGGCTATAGTGTGTTTGGAGGGATAGGGGTTATAGTGTGTTTGGAGGGATAGGGGCGATAGTGTGTGTTTTGGGGGATAGGGGCGATAGTGTGTTTGGGGGGATAGGGCCGATAGTGTGTGTTTGGGGGGATAGGGGTTATAGTTTGTTTGGAGGGATAGGGACTGTAGTTTGTTTGGGGGATAGGGGTTATAGTTTGTGGTTGGTGGCACAGGGGCTATAGTGTGTGTTTGGGGATGATGTGGATATAGTGTGTGTTTGGGGGGATAGGGCTATAGTTTGTTTGGAGGGATAGGGGCAATAGTGTTTGTTTGGGGGGATAGGGGCAATAGTTTGTGTGGGGGGATAGGGGCTATAGTTTGTGGTTGGTGGCACAGGGCCTATAGTGTCTCTGGGTGGATAGGGGCTATAGTGTGTGTTTGGGGATGATGTGGATATAGTGTGTGTTTGGGGGGATAGAGGCTATAGTTTGTGGTTGGTGGCACAGGGCCTATAGTGTCTCTGGGAGGATAGGGGCTATAGTGTGTGTTTGAGGATGATGTGGATATAGGTCAGCCATGGGAGAGAGACAGGAAGTTCCTAGCTCAGCCATGGGAGAGAGACAGGAAGCTCCTAGGTCAGCCATGGGAGAGAGACAGGAAGCTCCTAGGTCAGCCATGGGAGTGAGACAGGAAGTTCCTAGGTCAGCCATGGGAGAGAGACAGGAAGCTCCTAGGTCAGCCATGGGAGTGAGACAGGAAGTTCCTAGGTCAGCCATAGGAGTGAGACAGGAAGTTCTTCAGTCAGCCATGGGAGAGAGACAGGAAATTCTCCAGTCAGCCAATGCGAGAGGGACAGAAAATTCTTCAGTCAGCCATGGTAGAGAGACAGAAACATATTCAGTCAACCATGGGAGAGAGACAGGAAATTCTTCAGTCAGCCATTGGAGAGAGACAGGAAACTCCTAGGTCAGCCATGGGAGTGAGACAGGAAGCTCCTAGCTCAGCCATGGGAGTGAGACAGGAAGCTCCTAGCTCAGCCATGGGAGTGAGACAGGAAGCTCCTAGGTCAGTGAGACAGGAAGTTCCTAGGTCAGCCATGGTAGAGAGACAGAAACATATTCAGTCAACCATGGGAGAGAGACAGGAAATTCTTCAGTCAGCCATTGGAGAGAGACAGGAAACTCCTAGGTCAGCCATGGGAGTGAGACAGGAAGCTCCTAGCTCAGCCATGGGAGTGAGACAGGAAGCTCCTAGCTCAGCCATGGGAGTGAGACAGGAAGCTCCTAGGTCAGTGAGACAGGAAGTTCCTAGGTCAGCCATGGGAGAGACAGGAAGCTCCTAGCTCAGCCATGGGAGTGAGACAGGAAGCTCCTAGGTCAGCCATGGGAGAGAGACAGGAAGTTCCTAGCTCAGCCATGGGAGAGAGACAGGAAGCTCCTAGGTCAGCCATGGGAGTGAGACAGGAAGTTCCTAGGTCAGCCATGGGAGAGAGACAGGAAACTCCTAGGTCAGCCATGGGAGTGAGACAGGAAGCTCCTAGGTCAGCCATGGGAGAGAGACAGGAAGCTCCTAGGTCAGCCATGGGAGTGAGACAGGAAGTTCTTCAGTCAGCCATGGGAGAGAGACAGGAAATTCTCCATTCAGCCAATGCGAGAGAGACAGAAAATTCTTCAGTCAGCCATGGTAGAGAGACAGAAACATATTCAGTCAACCATGGGAGAGGGACAGGAAATTCTTCAGTCAGCCATGGGGGTGAGACAGGAAATTCTCCAGTCAGCCAATGCGAGAAGGACAGAAAATTCTTCAGTCAGCCATGGTAGAGAGACAGAAACATATTCAGTCAACCATGGGAGAGAGACAGGAAATTCTTCAGTCAGCCATTGGAGAGAGACAGGAAACTCCTATGTCAGCCATAGGAGTGAGACAGGAAGCTTCTAGCTCAGCCATGGGAGTGAGACAGGAAGCTCCTAGGTCAGCCATGGGAGAGAGACAGGAAGCTCCTAGGTCAGCCATGGGAGAGAGACAGGAAGCTCCTAGGTCAGCCATGGGAGTGAGACAGGAAGCTCCTAGGTCAGCCATGGGAGTGAGACAGGAAGTTACTAGGTCAGCCATAGGAGTGAGACAGGAAGTTCTTCAGTCAGCCATGAGAGAGAGACAGGAAATTCTCCAGTCAGCCAATGCGAGAGGGACAGAAAATTCTTCAGTCAGCCATGGTAGAGAGACAGAAACATATTCAGTCAACCATGGGAGAGAGACAGGAAATTCTTCAGTCAGCCATTGGAGAGAGACAGGAAACTCCTAGGTCAGCCATGGGAGTGAGACAGGAAGCTCCTAGCTCAGCCATGGGAGTGAGGCAGGAAGCTCCTAGCTCAGCCATGGGAGTGAGACAGGAAGCTCCTAGGTCAGCCATGGGAGTGAGACAGGAAGTTCCTAGGTCAGCCATGGGAGAGAGACAGGAAGTTCCTAGGTCAGCCATGGGAGAGAGACAGGAAGCTCCTAGGTTAGCCATGGGAGTGAGACAGGAAGTTCCTAGGTCAGCCATGGGAGAGAGACAGGAAGCTCCTAGGTTAGCCATGGGAGTGAGACAGGAAGCTCCTAGGTCAGTCATGGGAGAGAGACAGGAAGCTCCTAGGTCAGCCATGGGAGTGAGACAGGAAGTTCTTCAGTCAGCCATGGGAGAGAGACAGGAAATTCTCCAGTCAGCCAATGCGAGAGGGACAGAAAATTCTTCAGTCAGCCATGGTAGAGAGACAGAAACATATTCAGTCAACCATGGGAGAGAGACAGGAAATTCTTCAGTCAGCCATTGGAGAGAGACAGGAAGCTCCTAGGTCAGCCATGGGAGTGAGACAGGAAGTTCCTAGGTCAGCCATGGGAGAGAGACAGGAAGCTCCTAGGTCAGCCATGGGAGTGAGACAGGAAGCTCCTAGGTCAGCCATGGGAGAGAGACAGGAAGTTCCTAGGTCAGCCATGGGAGAGAGACAGGAAGCTCCTAGGTCAGCCATGGGAGAGAGACAGGAAGCTTTTAGGTTGCCAATGGGAGAGGGACAGGAAATTGTTCGGTCAGCCATGGAAGAGACAGGAAGCTCCTAGGTCAGCCATAGGAGAGGGAATGATTTGCAGACATGGCCTCTAGGAAGCCGTCATACAGTACTTTATTATCAGATTTCATACAGTTAATGAATAGGGATGGGTGGATCATTACATCCAGTATTTTGTTTTTGGATGGGTGCGGAGTGTTTGCATTAAAAAAAAAACAACCAAAAAAAGTCTCGTCTAAAAATAAGAAACAGAGTAGAAGAATTCAGAGAAATCCCTTAAACAAAATAAATATTCATATTGGTTGGAACCTTTCTTCTCTAAATTCTATACAAATCTACATTTTTTTTATAGTTTTAAATAAACACAGTCACAGAGCATTCCTAAAAATCCAGAGATTAATGTCACGGGATTAAAGACTCCCCAGTGGCAGACAAGTAGCGAACCCCATAACAAGAGCTCCCTCTACAGGCAATAGCTGTCACAATACGGTGGTGGAGTGTTTAACTGACTGGAGACCTATATAAAATGAGTGCAACCTTCTCTTGGCCCCCTCCACACTCAGTTTTTCTTCCCCTCTCACTTCCACTACTTTCTTTTAATTCTACTTTCCTCATTTTAACATTCTAGGTTAAATTAGATAGATCACACTTTTGTTGATGAACCTGATCTTTACTTGCAATACATTTAGTGCAATCTGTGTAAAGTCTTATAAAAATTTAATTAGGAGCTTTTTTTTCTCCCCCTCATTTTCCAATACTCCTCATGTTTGCATTGACTAAGCTACAATATTTGCACAGAGTTTAGCAATATTAAAGGGATCCTATAGTGCCAGGAAAACAAACCCGTTTTCCTGGCACTATAGGCTCTTGGAGTGCCCCCCTTCCTCGGCACTGAAGGGGTTAAAATCCATTCAGCCACTTATCTGAATCTGCCCACGCTCCTCCCACGCTGACGTTAGCCAGTGGGGGAAACCTAATGCGCATGCGCAGCAATAGCTGCGTGCGCATCAGACCTCCCCATAGAAAAGCATTACTCAATGGGGAAAATCTGACGCTGGAGGTCCGTGAGGACGTTCAGCGTCAGATAATGGACCAAAAGTCAATTTGGATTCCAGAAGCGTCCCCAGTGGCTGTCTGTTAGTCTCTAGTCCTGGAACCGCTCCCTCCTGGAGCCGAAGGGGGGATTCACTCTAGACACCCCCAGGAACTGGCTGACACTCAGTCTTGGGAGCTCTAGTCCTTACAAGGACGTTCCCAGTTGAATCCTCCACACTGGAACAGCCCTTTCCCCTTATATGCAGTCCCCATGCAAGGGGCACTCCCCCCTGGATCTGAGAGAAGACTACAGTAAAAAGATACACACAAATACATTAGCTCTCAGATCCAGGACACTCCCATACATGATACGATAATCCCTCCCCTGTGCCTGGGAGATAATGGCGTCAAGCATAGTATTAAACTCAATTATCTCCAGGCACAAAAAAACACACATTTACCAAACACCCCAAAAGTACCTTAAAAATACATAAACCCCCACAAAAGTTACATCCCCCGATAGTCCCAGTCTGGGTGACCAACATATCCAAAAATCAACCTCATCGATTCAGGGGTTCAGGAATTTCATGGAAGTCATAATTTGACCGACCGCACGCATGGTCCCCTAGCCGAAAATAGTTCCATAGAATCGCAGCTAAGTGCCGCTGGGGACCGAACGGGAACCGCAAAGTCTTCATGGTGAAAATAGTTCCATGGAATCGCGGCTAAGTGCCGCTGGGGACCGACTGGGAACCGAACGGTAACTGCAAAGTCTTCATGCCGAAAATAGATGTTTTTATGACCAAGGAGTTGTTATCTGCATAATCACAGAAGTAACCAGCAAACTTCATCTGTTGGTGATCACATCCTTTTGGATTTGACATACCTATCGCTTCCTTGATCTTATAAGTGTTATTTATATTAAAGCATAGTATTTCAGCATAAGGTTTTGCACTGTTATTACTTTATTCTCTCCCACATGCCCGTCTACTATGCCGAAGATTAAAACCATCTCTAACCATTTTGATATGCCTACAATCAAAGATATGTTTGTGAGTGCATTATATGGAATTCGATTTTATGGTGTATGAACATTATTACCCACGAGATTTATTTCTGTTTTACTGTAGATATTTTCTGTATTTGACCCATAGGTCTCTATGGTACGCACCTGACAAAGATATTCTATGTGTGTGATTTGAAGTCAGCAATGATATGAGCAATGCTACCTCCTTTCATGGGAACATCTCTTATATCCCTCCATTTCTGGAACCTCTACTTCCCAAAGTACCAGGACAAGAGATTAGGTTGGCCCACGTCTTTTGGTGATATGCCTTACTCATTCTCGAGTAGCTATACGGTTCCCTTCAATGTGGCAATGACACCTAGGTCTTCATATCAGCGGTTCTATGTGTTTGACTCACCTCCATGTGGCAGTAGATCATGTACCCACTACTGGGTTATTCTACTGGGTTATTCAACTTTAGTCAGTCGAGGCCCGTGTGTTAAATGTGCTGTGGAGCGGGGGGAAATGAGAGAGAAAGTGGAGAAAAGGGGGCAGCGTTCATTTTAGCACTACATTTCTTAATCACATGATAGTGAGTTTAGGAATCCCAGGAGACTAACAATGGTGAAATATTCCAAGATAGGGCGGTTAACTAATGCAAGATGATGAAATAATCCAAGATAGGGCAGTTACCTAATGCAGAATGGTGAAATAATCCAATATATGGCGGTTACCTAATGCAGAAACAAGATTCCATTCACTGCACAGCTGTGACCTTAGAATGGAGGCACTTCAAATGTTTTGTAAGTTTCAGGCAAAACAACATGACATTTGCACTGTCGTTGTTCGGCATGTGCTATAAACTTTAACTTTAATAATACACGGACACGTTTAATACTGTTGGAGTATAACGTCCACAGCTTTATTAATATGAATAAATTAACATAATTAGGGTCATTGTCATAAATGACATTATTTATTATCCCCCCGCACAATCCCCTGACAATGACCCTACCACATGAACAATAATTAACATCAATTACCAATAAACTTGTAAACATCCGGCCTACCAACGAGGCCCCATATCATAATGATAACTGTAGGGGTGTACCCAGACACCGAAGAGCTAGAACCTACCAACCATGACACCGTCTGGCCTACTTCAGCCTAGGCCCTGGCCTGTACAGTTCCAATTCCTTGATAACTTCCAACTTAACCACGCCCTGTTCCGCCACAGCACTTGTCTTGACCCCTTAAGACCATGTGCGACCCCCACCACACTGAAACAGGGCTCGGGCTATGCCCTCCTGGAACCCCAAGTTCAGTAAGTCACACCCCACTTCTGACAGGTGTACTCCATCCCTCCTATAATAACCTGGCAACATGCCCTCCAGTTCCCGATGCCTCACCACTATTCCCCCCATCCTCTTAACAAATACTGCCATAGCTCTATTAACCTTCCCCCTGCATCGTGCCACCGCAGCAGGGTCCCTGGCGTGACGCCATGTAAAACAAGGCACCATCTCGGACCACACCACCACCACGTCAGGGACCAGCTCCCGTAGCCGATCCATGTCCCTCTTCATTCGCCGCAACAGTTCCCGTTGCGGAATCAGCCCTAAGTCATTCCCCCCACCGTGCACCACTACAACATCCGGAACCGGACCCTTGGACACTTTTGTAAATAAAACATTACTCAAGCTCTGCCAACTAAAACCTCGAAAACCAAACCAGGATAAGACCGCTCGTTCCAGAGGAAAGCCCAGTTGTGTTCCTTGTCTCCGAACTGCGGCCCTCTTCTGTGCCCAATATACGAACGAGTGTCCCAGCAACCAAACATTCCAACCTGAAAAGAGACAAAATTAATTACACCGCAGAGCCAGTGTCCCCCAGTCCCGGCCATTTAACCCCTCAAAGCTCCACCATCCCGTCGGGCCTCACATACGAGCGAAACCGCACGGATTCCCACCGTCCGATCCTCTTGATCCGCTCGTCACCCAAACCCAAGCGTGCCGCCTCTGTAGCCGCACCGATACGGAACGAATGCGACCCGAATTGCGTGGGCTGCAGGCCCAGCTTCACTAAGCCCAAACGAAAAATCCTAATGAATTGAAACCGTGACAACGCCGTGCCGTCAGCGTGCAGGAAAAAACAACCGCTAACGTTAGGACGGATCCCCAGGTACCCTGATCCGCAGGCCACCGGGCACAACCCTGATCCCGGCAACTCGAATAGCACCACGGAGCAGCCTTTGCCGAAAACATCAGTTTTCGATCGGCCCAACCTAATCTGCACGCGATCACTCTTAACTTCCACATCCTCGCGCTGCAAGCCACCAACTCCCACTTTGTTTGCGCTAACCAGCTCCCCGATCCGAAACGCCCCAAAAAACGCCCAGACAAACGCACCAGAAAAAAGGACCACCTCAAATGGCGAGGAACATAACTCCGGTAACTTTCCCACCAAACCTTGTAAGACCGCAAAAGACACCGGTCTCCTAACGTCCGTCGACGTCTTCCCCCTCCGAAAACCCCGAACCGCCTGTCGAACCAAGAAATGCTTTGTCAAATCTTCCCACCCTTGGAATTTAAACCAGAAAGCCAAGGCGGACATATGCCTGTCCACCATGGCCGGCGAAGCCCCCTTTGCAAACAACCGGCACAACAACCATAGGAAGACATCCAGCCTATGGCCCTCCGAAAGGTCCCCACCTACCTCCTCAACCGTTTCCTCCCATTCCTTCCAAACCTTAGCATAAGATGACCACGTGCTCGGTGCCAAGGATTTCTTTATGTATTCCCCAAGCACGATGTCCCGAGTCGCCACATCTCGTCTGGGCAAGCCTGCCCGCATTCCCGTGCCTCTGGAGCCGCTTCCCGAAAACGATCCCACTGAAAACGAGAAAGCGCATCAGCCACCACATTTGAGAATCCCGGAATGTGTCTAGCCCTGAATACTAAATTGGAAGACATGCAGAGGAGCACCAAATGCCGTAGTAGGCATAGGACCGGAAGCGAAGATGCCGACAAACTGTTGATTGCCTGCACCACGGCCATATTGTCCGAATAAAACACGACTCGCTTGTTTGCTAGTTCAGCTCCCCACAATGCTACCGCAACCACTACAGGGAAGAGTTCCAAAAATGCCAGATTCTTGATCAATGGGCTCGCCCTCCATGCCTCGGGCCATGCCTCGGCACACCACCATCCCGCAAAATAAGCCCCGAACCCCACGCTGCCCGAAGCGTCCGTAAACAGCCCCACTGCTTCCGAAGACACCACTTGCTCCCTAAAAAAGGCCTTGCCATTGAAGTCCTTCAAAAAACGATCCCACACCTCTAAGTCCGCCTTCATGTCCGCGGAAACCCTGATATAGTGTGACGGCATCCGTATCCCGCTCGTCGCCCGCGCCAATCGTCTACAGAAAACCCTCCCCATGGGTATGACCCTGCACGCAAAGTTCAGGCTCCCTACCAGAGACTGTAATCCCCTCAGCGTCACCTTCCGTGCTCTCCCAATTGTGTGCACCAAATCTTTCAGTTTGTGCAACTTGTCCTGTGGTAATCTACATTCCCCGATCTCCGAATCGATCTCCAAACCCAGAAAACTAAGACACGTGGCGGGTCCCACGGTCTTGTCCTCCGCCAAAGGAACCCCCATCGTCTGCGCTACCCATTGGAACACCCGTAGTATCTGCTTGCACCGGTCTGAGCCTCGAGGGCCGACACATAAGAAGTCGTCCAGGTAATGCACAACCGTGCCCCCCGGCCGATTCCCGTCGCACTACCCATTCCAGAAAAGTGCTAAACTTCTCGAAATAGGCGCACGAGATGGAACAACCCATCGGCAAGCACAGATCCACAAAGAAGCCCCCTTCAAAACAACACCCCAAGAGGTGATGACATGACGGGTGTATGGGAAGCAGCCGAAACGCTGCCTCCACGTCCACCTTCGCCATCAGCGCTCCCCGCCCAGCTCTCCGTACCAACTCGACTGCCCTGTCGAATGATGTGTAAGATACTGAACAGAGTGCCGCGTCGATGTCATCATTCACCGATGACCCTTTAGGATACGATAAGTGATGAATCAACCTGAATTTGCCAGCCTCTTTTTTGGGGACCACTCCAAGTGGGGATATCCGCAACTCTGCTAGAGGCGGGTACGGGAACGGCCCCGCCATCCTCCCCAAAAGGACCTCTTTGGCCAGCTTTTCCCGCACTACCTCCGGGCGTTCCCGCACCGATTTAAGATTGGCACAAACCGCCCCTGGTTCCTTGACCGTGAAGGGGATCATGAAGCCCTCCCTAAAACCCCGCCACAGGAACGCTGCATCCTCCTGGTTAGCGTATTGCCTTAGCCAAGGCAACATCGCGCCTAACCTCACTGGGGACGCCCCCAGTTGCAGCCGAGGTGGCCGCCACCCCTGCGGTTCCACCCCCTGTATTGAGCTTACCTTTCTTGAAGCATCTGCTGGCGCCGTGATTCCCTCCGCAGCCCGAACACTCGTGCCTAAATCGGCATGAAGTACCCCACTTGCATTGACCCTCGTTGTACGTCCAGCACAGGCCCTTCTTTTGTCCCGCTGGCACAGCCACGCCTGAGGCTGTCCCAGCTGCCCCGAGAAAGGGCGCAGCCTTCTGCGCCATCATAATCCTCATCCATAGCGGCAGGTCCATTTGGTCCCACCGCATGGTAGGGTTGGCCGCCAAGCGTTGCCGAAACTGCTCATCATATTTCCACCACGCTAGGCCCCCATACGTCCGATACGCATCGCCTATCCCATCCAAGTAGCAGAACAGTTGCGAACAGCTCCCTGGCCTTTTTTCCCCTATCACACTAGCCAGGATGCAGAACGCCCTCAGCCAATTCCCAAAAGTCTTCGGTATCTTGCGATACCTCCGCCTTTTTTCTTCTTCCTCCTT